TCCTCGGCCTCCGTCTCTCCCCCAGGACTTCCCCTCTACATCCATCTCATCCCTCTTTTCTTCCCGTCTAGATTTTCCACAAACACCCTTCGCTCACACCTCTCACTGCCTCGCTGCATCCTGCATTTTTTTTGATGGTGGTAAACCAATCTTAAGTCACCACCACTTTGTTTCCCATCTCTTAATTAATGACCTGCTTTCCATTAGAGGAAATGTGCTGAGGACACTTTAATGTCGGACTGCAGGAAGGAGGAGGATTAGCTGATTTGTGGCACATCGCAGAGCTCTAGTGTAAAGTCATGGGAGTGTGTCAGCAGCGCGCAGTGTTTGTGTGCATTTTGTTAGTGTGTGTATTCTTAACACAACTCCTGATGCACCCTGCAAGATTTTAAGCGAATTTAGGCCGAGAGGGTTGGATAGAATTCAAACAGCAAGCGAAGACGAGCTACTTGCAGTGGAAAAAATCAAGACATGCGGCTTATAATCAGTGGGGAGTTCGTGAAAAGATCAAAAGTAGATGGTGACAGGGAAATTAAAGAAAAGCCCTTAAACTTTCATGTAGTAAAAGTTTGAAAAATGAATACTCAAGATAACTTTCAAAAAACTGAATAAAATATTAGGTAGCGTTTCCTTCTTTTCTCCGTGTTTCCTGATGAGGTTTGCCCGGTTCATGGTCGGACCCAAAGGCGCTATTTCATTTCTGTGTTGAAAATCTAGTTCACATTCAACATTACGTCTGGGATTATTCAGAAAGTCTCTTCACTGGATTTCCTGGGAATGTTTCTTTTTCTGAATTCTCTCTGAACACTATTCCCTCTCCCGGTCTAACATGTCACTTCCTTTTTGAGATTGCTGTCCTTTCCCCCTCCTCCTACCTGTCTGCACTCCCTTCCTATCTATATCGCTCCCCTTTCCCTCTGTCAGTTCCTATTCCAGTTTCTTTCCCCGTGTTTCTTAATCCCCCCACGATAATTCCCCTCCTCTCTTTGGCAGCCGCTGTCCTCTTTTCTCCTCCCCTCCCTTCTCTTCCTGCTTCCCTCTTCCTCTCTATTTATCTCTCTCTCGCTTCCTCCTCTGCCTCTATCCATCCCTAAATCAGCCCCTATGGACTGCAGCAGCTTCACATGTTACAAGCGTGCTCTAAAAGACGGGGATGTGCAGAGGTGTTAGCGCGGCAATTACGCACATACTGAACAGGTTACATGGATAAAAGGCAAACAGAGATGAATGGATACCACACAAACGAGGGAAGAAGGGGGAAAGGGAAAGGATGGAGTTTTACAGAAAGAAGAGGGACAAAACTGCGAGAAGAGAGAAGTGACACATAATGAGGGAGAGTCAGCAAGCGCTCATTTACGCACAAAAGCGTGTGTGTGTGACAGAGAGAGAGCAAAAGGGAGGGGGGGAGTGAGCGAGAGAGGGAGGAGTGAGTTGCGGAGGGAGGAGTGAGAGAGAGAATGTGTGTGTGTGCGAGACATTGTCATCCAGTCCTGACAGAGAACAGCAGCAGCAGCGCGAGCATCACCGGCCGGCGGGATCCAGACGCACTGAGCGAGGAATACACACTGATGATGAAGAAGCAACAAAGGGAGAGGATGGAATAAGAAAGAGAAAAAGCATTTTATTGCTTCTCTTCCTACTTCTGTTTGGAGCATCCCACAAGCAGAGCACCAGTGAAAACACATACATATGATATATATATAAAATTCCTATACATATATATCAAATTATGCCTGTTTTCAAAGAAGCTGCCGGACAAGGACTGAATTGACAGAACAAATCCATTGCATGACAAACAGGGAGATAATATGCAGGATTTGACTTAAAACTGTTGAATATTAGATTTATTTTTTTATCTTTTTCGCTCAAAGGGGAAAAAGACAAACCAATACATTGATGCAAATGGAACATTTGGAAAAACTGAGTTGTTGAAGAACAAAGATCTTCTGCTGCAGGCAGTCCTATATTTCCAAGTGGGCTTCTTTTGAAAACAGGATATTTTTTTCTGATCTGCCCTCATTGCCACACGGCCGTTTGGCTGTCGCATCTCCACTTGCCTCTCGTGCGTATGGGCTGGGGAGCTTTATTCCGCCGAGGCTTGCACAAGTGCGACACTGAAAGTGCAGAGGGCAGTCCACGGGCTCTCTGACCCCACGCTGATATTTCCTCAGCGACGACAAAAGCCCACACAGCTCGGGTTGAGAGAAAAAGGGTGAGGTAAGTTGCGGGGAGGGGGGGAAAGAAAGAAGCAGAAAATATTTTAAAAAGAGCATTTAGGGAGATCAAAATGTAAACACAGAGAAACTGAGTCTAAAGAAGAACAAGGGAAAAAAACCCACTTATTTTACATATTTACATATTTTACAGGGACGTGGATGCAGCAACGCTAAGACATTAAGATCAGAGATTCAGCGTCCCAACATCAGCCCCCTTCCCCTCCCACCTCTCTCTTTCTCCTCCTCTCCCCTTAGTCTTAGCACTTGTAGGGCAGGCTGGTGTCCTGGGTCTGTCAGATCCACAGAGAGGAGGGGTTCCTCTGGAGCAGCAACAGGAGTCGAGGACAAGAAGCCATTGGACTCATTGTGTGTCGCTTAGACAGCACTGTCACCAGGGGGGTTTGAGCTGCTGTGAATGTGTGTGTGAGAGAGTGTGTGTTTGTGTGCATGAGAGACAACACGCCTCAGGTGCGATAGCTTTTGGACCCTAGGATTTCAGCTTGACGAGACCCCGGAGTTATGTTTTAAAGAATATTGCAGAGCTGTTGTTACCTGTTGGCTGGAAATAGGAAGGACATATACCCTACGTGATCTTTCCAAAACAAAAGATCAACTTTCAATCTCACTCCAAAAGACTGGATCTACACATCTCAAGGAGGGGGTTCACCACAGTGGAGCAAGGCGGCAGAGGAAGAAGATGCCCACCACCAAAATAAAAAAGCTTCTTTTGAACAGAGACGTTGAGAGTAGGAGGAAGACAGATGTGAGATAAGCTCTGAGAGGGAAAATTGGAGGAGACACACAACAACACTCCACTCGAGCTTTTCCAGGACATCTGAACTGATTTGAGATTTGTTATCCACTCAGGAATAGGAGTCTGTCTCCAGAGTGCAAATCCTTTCATGTGGGAGCCTGTGACTATCTCTGAGTTTAAGAGGAATCTTCCTTCTTTTTCTGCTAACAGTTTTCCACTTTTCACGGATTATTCTTCCACTCAGAAGGGGGGCTTATTGCAGGATGTGCCAGAGGCAAGTTCATTCGTAGGTAACACGCCCTCTTAAACTAGATTCCCTCCAAGCCAAACCGGATTAGGATTTGTCTACAACCGCCTCTGCTGTCTGCTGACGACATATGGCTTTGTGAAAGGTGACAGTTCCTGCATTTTTGAATATTCATGTGCTTCGATAAACACACACCCACACACATAACGTAAGCTGCCAGGGACTGTGGTGATGAGTCTGTGCATTTGAGTGTCTGCTCACAAGGGACACATTCACTCCTGTTGAGATGGGAGATTGATTTCTTGCACTCACTTGTTCCTCTGCCCCTCGACGACAATTTCCCCTTCTGTAACAGTAATAACTCCCACAACGCTAAATGAAGGCTCTTTCTTTTTCTTCCAGGCATGCATGGTTAACCCCAATGTATTCATTAGACCTGTTATCTCAGAGATTCATTGACTAAAGGATATCTAACTTTCTATTTCTTTGTTGTTTTTTTAAACCTAGGAGCTTTACTATCATTACAAATTACACATCAGACCTACCAGAAGACACTGGCATAGATCCAAGATGGCGCCCTCCGTGCATCCGCTCTTGATAAGCCTTTCCCTGGCCATTCTCCTGGGACTGACCTCTTTCGGGGGACTGAACTCTTGGCCCTCAGGTCAAGTTTTGGCGCAGGTTCCTACGAACAACCAGACGACAGAGCCCTCTATGATACCTGAGGCCGCGCTGGCAACGCCGACACCGGAAGCAGAGGACAAAACGCTTCCGTCGAACGGTGGCCGTTGCTGGGGTTACTATGACGTCATGGGCCAGTGGGACCCGCCCTTCAACTGTAACGTTGGTGTCTACCTGTCCTGTTGCGGCTCCTGCTTCTACCGCTTCTGCTGCCAGTTCAAAATCCACAGTTTGGACCAGACTGCCTGTTCCAACTATGACACGCCGGTCTGGGCGAACACCGGGAAGCCGTCAGAACCCGTCACCGAGGTCCGAGAGGAGCCGGACAGAGATCAGACCCACATGATCGTTTATATTATTTGTGGAGTGGTGGCCATCATGGTGTTGGTCGGGATTTTCACCAAACTCGGGCTGGAGAAGAGTCAAGGAGGACAGACCGACATGACCAACTCCAGGTATGAAGTGAGAACGGCGGATTGATGGTTGGGTGATGGATGATGTTGGCCAATGATGATAATGGTTTCGCTAACGACATCATCCATTTGATGTTGATATATTTAATTACATCGGATTATCTTGACTGGGAGAAATAGTCCCTGTTGCCTAGGAGTCATTCAATTGAAGAACATACTGTAAGAAGCTTTCTGTAGTTTATACATTTATTCTTTACGATACATTTTTTCGTACTTTTTCTAGATTTGTTTGCAAGAATTGATGTAACAAAGATAGAAAAACAATGGTTCTTAAATAAAAAGGCCACCTCCCAAGCTCTAATGAAGCTTAGCCAAACTTGGGAGGCTAGCAACCTGCAGACACATTTCATGTCAACTTTCGTGTAGGGCACATTTGCAATCTGTTATTACAGGCTAATTTACATAGACCCTCCATTAAAGTACGACAACAAATAAGTGGGAGCCCCACATTTTCAAAGTGTTCCTGGGATTTGTTACCATTATGTACTTGGTAAATTAAAATTGCATTCCTTTGTACTGCTCATTACTGGAAACAGTAATTGCCCAAATGATATTTGTTACTGAATAATGCATTACTGCCCCAACCAATACAGAAAAACTAAACAAATCTGCTCTGCTTCTCCGCTGCAGCACACAGTGTTTATACATGCACACATGTACCTGTGTGAAAGCCTGGCTGTGGTGTCGGCCTGCGTGTTTCTGCTGATGTGTGAGAAGGTCACCGGCTGGGCTGTGAGTCAAGCGCCTGAATCACAGCGAGGCGATAATTTGTGAGACTTTTGCATGCAACCACGAGGGAGCAATGGACATAGTGATGGAGGAGAGGGGGGGAACCTGATGGAGGTCAGGTGGTGGGACGGAGATCCCGAAGGACAGATGCCGGGTGATAGTAATGGAGGAGTTTGGGGGGGATTACAGTGCGGTTGTGTTGTGTTGTCTCCCGCATTGATAGGTGATTGATTACTGTGACACAACTATGACTGTGGCAAAGCGCGGCCTCCAGTGAACAACGAGAAGAGAGGCGTTTTTTTTGGGAGGGTGGAATATTGAGCTGATCCGACTGGAATGCAGCCAACGGCTAATTCTAGTACCCAGAATAGGGGTGTGTATTTTAGTTTGTGTGAGGGAGGGGGGGAAAGGGAGAGGAAGATGAGGGGGATGGTGTGTGTATGTTTGTGTGTCATGCCACGGGGTTACTTTAAAATCCTGTCATTACCTGATCTCCTCCACCTCCCAGGGGGGTATGAGAGGTGGAGGATGATGGCGGTGGACATCAGGACTGGTTAGTGTTACACTGCAATGAGCCAACCATAACACAATGAAAGCTGGCACCTCTTCGCACATGTTCTCCCCTGAATCAAACAATTATGCATGAGGCTTTATACTTGAATCAAGGACTTGTTTTGGAGATATTTTCTGAAATGTGGTTGTCTGTCTGTCCTGACCACCTCCAGGTCAGAGTGTCAAAAGATATTCTGCATATGTCTTGAAGTTTCTCCGAAGTGACATCTTGTTTCCTCCGATCAGCAGGACAGATGTTGGCAGGCTGAAGTGTCCCGGAGCAAGACACTGAAACTCTGCTGTCTTGACCGTTCACTTTGACCTTCCTGGTAGAATGTAGTTACTTCTTTCCCCCAATGGAAGTAAATAAGATCCTTTTAAATCAAGTAAATGAGCCAAACTAGAAGGGCACTCGGGCTCCACCAAGGTCGTTTCCATAATATAAAATAATGCCTGTACTGTATGTGCTTTGTTATTTGGATCCGATCCAGAATTTGAATGAGTTTTTGCTCGCCCCATGCTCAAGTACATCCTTCCATCAAGTTCCTGGAAAATTGGTCTATGAGTGTTTTTTTTTCATAACGCTTTTAAAAACATGACATACAAAACTGAAAACACCTTGGTAATGAATGAATGCAAATACATTGTAGAGAGTTATTGGAGCAATCATGTGGAGGACAATTTCAATTGAGCAATCAAAGAAAAATACAAGTCCTTATTTTTATTTCTGTTTGTAAATTAGAAAAGACCTGCCCCAGTGCTTTGATTGAATTCACTGGAAAAAATGCTGCTCCAAAAACGAGTTAAAGATTAATGAAAAGTTGTTTTCACTTGAAATAAGTACAAAAATCTGCCAATAGAACAAGTGAAAATTAGCTTGGTAAGATTTCTTGGAATATAATGGGATATTTATATAAATCAGATCTTGTAATTAGCTAGGAGAACTTATTTTGAACTATATTTTACCAGAATCAGGAAATGCTGTGTTACAATATAAGCCGCACATACTCAAAAGTGTTGTTTTCTGATGTCAATAAATATGTAAAAAAACAAAAATGTACTCAAAATAGGATTATTTGATTTAACAAGATGATACATTGTCTAAAAACAAGAGCCTATATCTCACTGCATTGTTACTTCTGAAGTTAATATGTCTTATAGTAATTGTAAAGACATATTCTGACTAGATATTAGACAAACATACTGGGCAAGATTTCGAATTCTTGTAGTGTTTTTTGATAGAATTGTGACAGTAAAGAGGTCACAACTCTTCTCGAAAAACAACTTCTTTGTCAGAGGCTTGTCAAAAAGGAATTGGTATTGTCTTGGCCAATCACATTCCCAATCTGGCTGAAGGGCAGGGGGGCGCCCAGTAATGGACAATGGTAACACCAACATTGCCCTATAAACTAATGAATTGCATCTACTTACTCTAAAGCAATACCAACATCTAAACAGGTTTTGTATTAGTACACAATTTACATTTCCCCCATCCAAGCCATTAGACAATGGTAATGAAAATAACATCCATTGAATCGGCTGGTAGCAATCGGAACGTTCTCTGTGCGTTTAGAAAAAAACAGTTATCGGATCAAGTGAACTTAAGTGAGAAAGGTTTTTTTTAGTGGCTGATAAATGGATGGAAACTATCTTAAGAGAGGGGACAATCTGTCCTTTATTTAGTCTATGCTCCTCAGGTCATATTTCTGTCATTTATTCCTATCATAATTGTCTTTTTTTTTTAAATCTAAATTGTTTCAGCACTGTCTTCTGGTGTTTGGGGCTACACAGATATCTTGGAGGCAGCACTTTGCACACACTCTGTGATAGGCACACAAAGAAGCAGTTGAAAAGGTGCCATATTAAAAAACAAAACGATGTACCCTTATCTCAAGCTTTATGACAAACAGAAAAGGAGATAGTGTGAAAAACAATGCAAAAAAGATTAGAAATTCGGTGAGGTCTTTATGTTTTAAAGAGTAATATAACCTCCAAATTGCTAAATGAATTGCCTAAACTATAAATGAACAAGTAACTGAATTAAGTTTGGGACCACAATTATAAAAATGTCTTGGATACAGCCTGATTTTGCCTGAGAGAGACAAACACACAGCCAGTTTCTCCGTAGCCTGGAGGAGCCCTGGTGAAATTGTTTATCGTATTCTAAAATTCATTCTCAACCTGCATACATTTGACTGCAATGGGTGTGTGTGTGTCCACATGTGTGTGTCAGTGTTTCCACATGTGTGTGTGGGTGTGTCTGTGTGTGCACTGAAGGAATACAGCCAGCCACAAAGCTGTTAAGGTGGTAATGCGCTGAAACCCCGGGTCAGGCAATCACAACAGCCAGCACACACACACACACACACACACACACACACACACACACACACACACACACACACACACACACACACACACACACACACACACACACACACACACACACACACACACACACACACACACACACACACACACACACCTCTCATGACTACGCTGCCCCCCCCCCATTGTGTCCCATCAGTAGCCCTGCTTCTCACCTCCCAAGTGACTGTTTTTGTTTTGCTCTCAGTCTGTCGGCTGCTGCGTCTGTTGTGGGGAATTGAATATGCCATATTAAGTTTTTTTTTTTTTTTTTTAAAGTAACGACAGCTCAGCTCATCGCATTCTAGCGTTAGTAGGGATGCAGAGGGAGGAAAATGGTAGTCGACAAACACCATGGCCTTTCAATGACTCGTAAACATGTTAATATAGAGTCGACCATGAATGACTCCTGAACCTGGATATGAGTCAGCTTTTTCCCTTGTGGTTAAAACAAGGTTTTATATGTTGTTCTACGACAATATATGTCGATAATGGCGAATCCATCACACAGCTTTCATGTCAACAAGTGGCAAACAGCTCTGAACAGCGGACCATGAACGCCGCCACTATTTAAATGGCCGCTGTAACACTTTGGTGTTGGCCAACACATATTGGCACACTTTTATCATCTAACATTTATATGGCGTTACTCAAATATACCAGTGTTAACAGGTTAAACATCAAACAAGCACATGAAACAGGTAACATTTAAAATCCCCAGATTTACAGATACATGTTTCTTACTATATCTGACAATTTGTTGTGGGATAAAAGGTACGAAATGTATTGGAAATATTCCATCCATCCATCCATCTTCTCCCGCTTATCCGTGGTCGGGTCGCGGGGGTAGCAGTTCCAGCAGAGAGCCCCAAACTTTCCTTTCCCCGGTCACATCAACCAGCTCTGACTGGGGGATCCCAAGGTGCTCCCAGGCCAGCGAAGAGATATAATCCCTCCACCTGGTCCTAGGTCTACCCCTTGGTCTCTTCCCAGCTGGACGTGCCTGGAACACCTCCCTAGGGAGGCGCCCAGGTGGCATCCTAACTAGGTGCCCGAACCACCTCAACTGGCTCCTTTCGACGCGAAGGAGGAGCGGCTCAACTCCGAGTCCCTCCCTGATGACCGAACTTCTCACCTTATCCCTAAGGGAGACACCAGCCACCCTGCGGAGAAAACCCATCTCGGCCGCTTGTATCCGCGATCTCGTTCTTTCGGTCATGACCCATCCTTCATGACCATAGGTGAGGGTAGGAACGAAAATGGCCCGGTAGACAGAGAGCTTTGCCTTCTGGCTCAGCTCCCTTTTCGTCACAACGATGCGGTAAAGCGACTGCAGTAAAGCGACTGCAGTACCGCTCCCGCTGCTCCGATTCTCCGGCCCATCTCACGCTCCATTGTTCCCTCACTCGGGAACAAGACCCCGAGATACTTGAACTCCTTCACTTGGGGTAAGGACTCATTCCCTACTTGGAGTGGACAGTCCATCGGTTTCCTGCTGAGAACCATGGCCTCAGATTTGGAGGTGCTGATCCTCATCCCAGCCGCTTCACACTCGGTTGCGAAGATGGAAATAATCTAATACCAAAACATGTGTTGGTCTACTCTTCATTCTCAGTGCCAGTAAAACATATGGTTCAACAACATGTATTTATTAAGATTTGAACCATTACATTACCAATTGATTGCAATGGTGTAGAATCACGTTTTGGGATGAACAGCTCTTAATAATACCAAACTGCAAAAACAAGAAATCAGTGATATTAATTTAACTTCATATGTCCTGCTATTTAAGTTCCCTAAATGTGTACTTAAGTACAGTGCTATGGTAAATATACTTCCACCATGGCTGTCTCTCATTAATGCAGACTAAATAAATGAATCCAACACAAAGATACATGTTGAGGATTTTAGGGATGATCTCATCACTAATCCAGTACAGTATGTAACACTGTCTTTATGTTGTGTAATGACAAATGCTGAATAAGTAGAATGACTAATAACAAGTACTGTGTTTGTAACCTTTATCAAAGACCTTATTAACACCACCATCATAGTATCACAGCGAGAACGGCGAGGTATTACTCAGCTCAAGTGTGTTTTTGTTTGGTGGAACAAGGGACCACTTCATACGCAAGTTGTAGACACACACACACACACACACACGCACACACAGTTTAATAATACTGCGCCACTTAGCCTAAGTTATTCCACTGAAGAGCCATGTGTTCAAGGGCACAGGCGATTGAATGACCCACTGGGGACCAAAACAAGCGTTTCCATTGGCCATTCCCCTGTATTGTGTTTCACCTGCATCGCTTTCTATTTCCTTCACTGTGCAGCCGCAGTGTTGCTCTCCATCATCGCCTCTGACAGGTGTTTAGAGCCCAGAGATAAACCTCGTGCACACGGCTTCGCTTTCCTCAACACTAGCGGGCAAATAAATCTAAAAATGTTGTGGTGAGGCGTGTGCAAGCCAAATTGCGATTTTGTGTCGTGGCATTTGGGGTGCAACAAACCGAGTTTCTCTTTCATTTTTAGATCAAAGGTATTCAGGAAGCATGAGCAAACCATTAATTAAAACATCAAATAGGAAATGACTGATTAAACAATTCTGTGCAAAGAAAGTCGTCGTCGATGTTAAAAACAGGTCTTCAGGCTTCGATGCTGATGCCACCTCTCTTGTTGGAGCGTTTGATATTCTCACCTTGCATTAAAAGAAGCTTGTGTTTTTTTTCGGAAAGCAGTGAGGCTTGTTAAGCTCATGTCTTCCTCCTCCATGCTTAATCACGACCCGGAATAAACTGCTGCAGCACACTTTATATGGAAAGCACGCCTACAAATATTATAACATTTTAACAGCTGATATATAGTTGAGTCTCAACAATGCAACTGTTTTGCTTTGTCTTTAGAAGTTTAACACAATATCTCTAGAGTAAAGATGACAATTCATGACCATACCAACACATGCTCACAATATTTTAGCATGGATTGAATACGTAATTCAATACATGAATATTAGCAGTTTCAATATAAAATGTAGAAAAAGTTGTCTTTTACAAAAGGTTTTTAGCAATACTCATCAGAACTTAGTTGTCAGAACAGATATTGAAAGAAATAACAACCCCTTAGCAGTAAATATTTAACAGATATAATTAATATTGTATAATATGATGACATACATCTTTTGTAACCCTCCAGAAAGGTCAAATTTCATGTAGGAAGTGTCGGAATATAACAAAATACATTTACTCAACTACTAAGTAAGTAGCAAGTAAAATTAGGAGGTACTTTTCATTAAATGTCACTTTATATGAATACCCTCTATATATGTATTTATGCACCATTCATCTGCTAGCTACTTTGCAGATAAAGATTTTGCATACAAAACGCATGATTATCTTACGATGTGATGAATATTTATAAATTAAATTACCCAACAGTGTTAATTATTTGTTATAGAAATCAAAATTCCCTAGAGGTGATGCTAAGTTTTACCTTCGTCTCCTTATGAATGCAAGACTGTTGCTACTTTGTTACAACTTGGTGTTTTTACATTGAAGTATACTTGAACTTCGTAATACTTCTTCCACTGCTGGATGTGCTGGATTGTTTTAGACAGAGGTGTGTCTTTTTACATGCGTGTCCCAGAGGAGGTGTAGCAGTTTGATTGTAACTCCGCACCACGCCTCAGTGCAGCAGCTCAGAGACGGATTGCTGCAGCGCTGAAGTTCCTCCAACTGTTGCTGCAGTGGCTTCAACTCCTTCTGCCTCCACCTCACACTAAACCCTGGGCAAATGTTCCAATCCTCCCTCTTTCTCTCCTTCCTCCAGTCTCCCCATTTCACAAAGTGTATCCAATTATCTCTCCTCCTGCTTCTTCTACTCCCTCTTCTCCTTTCTCCTATTTTCTTATGAGAAAAACATGTTGCAGACATCCGGCAGATGGTCAGATTTAAACGGAAAATTACACCAGGTTTTGCATATTCTGCATCATTTTAAAGCAAATAAATTAAAGCAGAGAGAAGTACTTTAAAATGAGTGAATGCAGGGCAAGTGTGTTTAGATGACAACATTTGAAAGCAAGGCAATTTGAAGACACAAAGGCATTGAGAAAAGACATAAAAAAACATAATCAAAATATAATTTATGCAATTAATCTTAAGTGTTGTACGGCTCTCATTGGGCGCATTGCATTTCAAAGACTGGATAATAAAACAATTAAAGATATTGACGGTGAAAGTGAAAGTCAGTTTTACCCCATGCTATGCATAATGATAAGTCTTAGGCCTGCCATTATCCTTTCAATTTTTTTCAATGCTAAAATGCTATTGAGAAATATGCAGATTTTATTGATTTATTTATACATTTTTGCTAAAAAGTCCTAACACAGGTCGCTGAATTCAAAGGGAAAATCCTGCAAAGAGGAACTTCTGCCATAGTGAAACATTTCTCAGCACAGAATAAAGTATTTCAGTATTTTTTTTTTACCCACCAAAACAGGGTTTCCCACACATAGACTTTATATTAACGTCCGCCAAAGTATATAGCGCGACCCATTTAGGTTTAATCTTTTTTTATCTGTCCGCGTGCGCGATGCCATCTGCGATCGATTACCCTCGTGTACCTGTTCGCTCTGCTATCACGTGAAGGGTCTGCTTTATGCGCTCCGCAGTCACTCCGCAGCGAGGCTCCGGCGAACAGTTCATGAGCGTGCTCCACTAGCACCCCCCCCCCCCCCCCCTTCTCGGCTACCAAAAGTACATTTCAGATCTGTGGGAAACACTGCAAAAGCAAAACAGAGTCTTTAACCCTCCCAACATATTCCCTTTCTTCCCAGCTATTTACATGAAACATCAAAAATGCAAAAGCCCATCTGTCAGTTTCCTCCTCTCTGCTTCGATTTTAATTTACTTGTCGTAGCATCCTATTCGTCATCCTACATCTTCTGTATGAGATATTTATATCACATCACAGCCCACACACCCAAATGACCAGATATTTTCCATATGACGCGCAACTAAAACACCATATGTCTCTTTCTGTTTGAAAAGAAGACCAAATATAAGCTAATACGTGTGATTACTCCATAATGATAGGTTTATTTCTCTCTGTGGGCCGCTAACAAGGATCCCTGTCACTTTTGACTTTGTAATTTGAAGACACTGTAGGAGTGGGAGGCTCCATTGTTAGTGTGTGGATATTGTAAGATTCTGCCCTGAGGTAGAATTAGCTGAAAAGAGTCCAGGAAGCTTATTTACAAGTTAACAGCGTTTAATAAAACAATGGTACAACACATTTGCAAAAGGTTAGCCGGGCCGAGCTTGCTCCATCCAGTCGCAGGGGATGAGAAAGAGACCGACTTCGTGTCACATATTTATCATCTGTAGTCTTCTCCCATTGGCTTAGTGTCGACGGGGGCGGGTCCAAGGCACGTCCTGTCGTTTTCTGATGTTAGATTTACAATCTTCTAATATAATATCTGTTGGTCATTTAAACATTCCCTAATAATAGTATTGCAGCGTCAATAAGTGAGAGTTGAAGACAGTGTGTTTAGTATGCAACACAACGTATCATTCCCCCTATATTCACAATATACCATTAGCTACATGCTAATGGCTAAAAACAATGATTAACGTGAAACCGGAGGTCGACATGCGGTTTCAGAATAAAACTGTATATTCATTTAAAGTTCCGGCACAATATTGATTTTATTTCTTACAATATATTCCCATCCAACAGTGTTTTGCTAACTCCTCAGAACTGGAGGCTACGTGTGTGTGCGTGTGTTTGTGTGTTACATTGTGAGCCTCCCCTGTGTGTTTAGTCGCCATGGAGTTTGGGAACAGGCCGTCCAACATGGGCTGTGTTTTCACTCCAATGGTCCTGGTAATGGTCTCGTCCGTGTGGATTGACGCTGGCTCCAAGTCGCCCTGACAGAAAATCAACTGCTTACATGTCGCTGTTTGCTGAAGCGCACGTAGTAGCAAGCATTATCACTCGCTGTGTGCTGGAGCTGGTCGTCTCTCTTTCTCCTCTATCTCCACACGGACACATCCATCTATCCGTCTATCTCATTTCTATTCATTGCCATCCCACCGTTCTTAGATATCGTGCATTTCTTCATTTCTTTGCAATTTGCCCTCCAACCCTCCTGCTTCCTTCTTATATTTTAATATCTTTCTTTCAAAGGAGGGAGGAATAATGAAAATGTTGAACTCAGGTGGGATTGCTGTTACCCCAAGCAAGTGAGGTATGACATAGCCTACTGTTCAAACAATGCATTTTGAAGAAGATCTCATAACTTTTCGTTTTTTATTGTTTGCTAATTATGACTGTATTTCTAATGGCCTGTACATACAGAAACTAAATGGGTAATTATTTACCAAATTAATCACGTAGACCCTGAAGAAACACACTCCTCAATGTCAGTTTCGGTAGTTTATTGACAAGGATGACGACAGCCTGAAACAGAGCAATGCAGCAAGATAAGCTGACAAAGTACTACATCCATGCATGTCATCACCAACACAACACAAATATATACAACGACACACCAAACAATAGTGGAAACAATCCTACATGAATGAGTGGATGAACGTCTCAACTCGAGGTGGAGTGAAGGAACAATGTTCGAACTAAAATGGCCGCTCGGCACTACCGGGTCAGAGCACGGCATATCCGGTCAGCGACAGCAGTGAGACGCTGCCTTCTAGTGGCCGGCGATAAACTCTTCAGACCCTTATAAGGAAATACAAGTCTTAAAAAAGGTGAATTACTATCTCATTATCTAATATCTTAAGAGGGTATAATGCCATTGGTCCCAAGAAGACCATCATGCATAATAAAGTTGTCCATTGTACGCAGAACCAGACATTGGGATGGAAATGGCTCCCTTGACAAAAATAAGAGATTTTTTCATTGGATTTTTGAATAATTCAGCATGTAAGATCTTTGGCAAACACACCGTTATGATACTAACACGTGTTGTGCAGCAGGATAATCTCACATAAGAGTGCGTTCATGATGGATGTAAATGCCAGAAGTAAATGCTATAAACAAACTGTCTTAGCTTAGTGCCGCTAAGCTAAGACTTCTAGTGATCTCATTAAGACACTTGGTAGCAACCACAGATATTAAGACACGGAAATGTTTCAGACATTCACGATTGCTGTATTTACTGACGTGTTTTATGTCTTAGAACAAAACATTTAAATCTCGTAAGTTTTGCATCAAGCTGCAATTACTGCTTTTGAAGCACAATTTATCATTTATGTGAGAAAGCCGTTATATCTGATCTTAACGATAACACCTGTATTTTATTTTTTATCACTCTTCTTATCTTCATAACAGCAGATCAAGATGTGTTAATAAGGGAAATGCTGCTATTTGTACAGCAGTGTACACACTCATCTCTAACAGGTTGTTATTAGTAACAGACCTCAATCTGTTTTGTTGCATGTGGGTGTGAGTATAGGTTTGTTTTTCCCTCTCATCTTCTGCCCATCGTGGCTCTCAGTAATCACCTCTTATCTCCAAACACAACCAACAGCAACGCTTTAACGTAGAAACAGATCCTTCCTCTTAGACATTCGTCTTCCTTATCCTTCCATCTCGACCTTTTCTTCATAGTCTCCCCAAAAAATAATTACCTGCTAGCTGGTATCGCCCAAACCCTCGTACATCTTAAGCGTTGTGCAGGGACGGAGATGAAACAATAACGCGGAATCTCCGAGGGGGAACAGGATGACACAGCGAGGAGGAACTCACTTCTTTACTTTGCTCTCTACTTTCATCCCTTGCCATCCTCCCCATTCTGTTTGCTTTTCATATTCGTATGCTTGTGCTTGTTCCATTCCCTGTCGGTCTCTCGTTGTCTTGATCCTTTCTTCTGTCTCGTTGCTCTTTTTTTAAGCCCTATTTCTTTCTTCAAAACTTTTTTTTGGCACGTAAGATGCACATACACTGTGGAGTTATCAGTACCAGAGTTGGAACAAGTACTAAAATCTTAACATGAGAAAAAGTAGCAATACTTTAACGAAAACTTGATCTATTCGTTGGTTTAATTTTTACATTAGCTTATAATCTGATTCTGTAAAGTAACAAGTAACTCAAGATGTCAAATGAATGTAGTGGAGTAAAAACTACAATACTGGCTTTAAGTTAGGGCTATGCAATTTTTTTTATCTCAATTACGATTTTGGCTTGAGACGATTACGAAAACAACGTAATAGAAACAAAACGATTTTTTATTTAAATTTTTTTTTTTTGTTTTTCAGTTGAATTATACTTAAATTTCAGGGTAATCAACTGTTAAAAACATACTGTTCAACATTTTTTTTTCAATGAATTAATGTTTTCAAAGTAAATGGATAATCGTTTTTAATAATCGTGATATCAATTATTGACCAAAAAAATTGTGATTATGGTTTTTGCCATAATCGCAGAGCCCTAATTTAAGTTCTAATTTTCTAATAATTAAATAAACATGTATTCTCATCAATTATCATTCATCACTGTCCCATTTCTTTACGGTAGGCCTTTAAAAATGCATTGGCTGACCTTAAAAAACACTTAAACACACAGATATTTACCTACACACACACATATATCCACCTACACACACACATATATTCACCTACAATAGCACACACAAACTTGTTGTTGCAGAGTATAATGCCTATATTTGTTGAGAGCGATCGCAGCAGGTGTTTCTCACCTTTCAGGTCGAAAATCTGGGTTATTCATCTTCCTTTCATGCCATCTGCAGGAAACAGAGAGGAGACAGAGACAAAGAGTTCTAGAAACCGTTGAACTAGAACGTTTCCATGATTTACCAGCTGTTTTTATCTTCTCAATTACCCAGGTTGTGCCCTTCACTTGATATTAACTTCAGCAAAACGGCTTGATTAAGACCTTAGTGTACGTAACTCAAATAGAAACAGTCAGTGATTTATTTTCGGAGGTGCAAAGTAAATACATTTTTTCAAGGTTTTTTACTTCAATATTTCCATTTTGAGACGGACATTGAATTCTTATCCCACCATAAAGTAATTGCGGCAACTTGAGTTAGTTTCAGATTCAGATTAGCATTGCGAAATATAATCAACAAATTATGATATTATTTTATAAGTAAGGCGGAAATTCACAAGCTACCCTGCAAGGGATATATATGCAACATAGTGTACACATCAATAATCATTATCCAGTACTATAAATATGATTTTGATACTGCCCCTTTTGAGCACTTTTGGTGCTTTTAAGGACGTTCTAACAAGCCAAATAATTTTACTCTGGTGCAGTCCAGTTTGACAGCAGGAAACGCAATAATGGTACGGTCCAAAACAACCAATCCAAGACCAGTTGAGAGCCTTGGTCTTGAAAGTTCTTCAAAGTGAACCCTAGTTCAATGCAATTTCGTCTTCTACTGAAAGAATTAACCAACCTGTTTTTGACAATCCTGAGCCTTTAAATGAGGCATTCGTGCTGAACACTGTCCAGATGTGTTTGGTAGAAACTGCCAGTGTCACCATTGTATATGCGATGTGTTATAGTTTATTTCCGTATTGACACCACCAGCTTCTAGAGGAAGACCAACGCAAATACATTTCTGACCATGCTCCTCATACACGCTCCCCTTTTTCAAATGTTGTCTGCTTTCATTTGAGCACTGTGAAACCATACCAGTCTTAATAGAACCAATTTCACTGTAATGCCGACTAAGCTAACCGACTAGTGTGAAAACATACCAAGTATGATTTGATGCTATTACTTTGGTACATTTTTAAATATAACGCTTCAGCAAAACGGCTTGGTTAAGACCTTAGTACATTTTTTAATATAACTTTTACTTGTAATTTACCTTTTTATACTGTGGTATTGCTACTTCAACTTAAAGGTCCCATCATGGCCATTTCCACTGATCATAATTCCATTGTTGAAGAATAGATTTACATTGTTCAATGTTCTAAAGTCACATTGGTTTCTCTAACAGTATCTCTGTATAGTATGTGTATTCACTCTCTGTCCTAAACGGCTTGTTGGAGCTCCTGCTCCACGGATTGGTCCATTTGGACCTGGGCATGGTTACGTCACCATACTCAGGAAGAAAAAAATGGAAAAGAAAAATCTCCAACGAGGCGTTCTGGGGCAGCATAGACAGGTCTTTGCTGTGTTAGAGTTGTACTCGCTACAGGGTGTACTTTGAAGGTTTGTGACTTTGCAGACCGTGTACATGCAGAAAAAGCTACATAACACACAACGGGAAGGGTAATAACCGGAGAAGCATGTCATGGTACCTTTAAGTTAAGAGTACTTCTTCCACTGCTGCTGGTTAAACCTATTATAACATGGTTTCAGAGAAACACTTGTTTCCATCGTCTCAATTTGTTGTTGCAAATGGACCGAAATCAGTATCCATTATCCTCAGCGGCCCAAAAAAAGCCATGCAGCCAGAAAAAATGAATTAGTGTCTCCCCAAAATTCAGATAAATTTGTTGTTGCAGCCAGAAACACTATTATCGCTGAACTTGGCATTGACCCAGAATGCAGAACTATTCCACTAGGAGCTAATTGAGGGTTGACTCTGTATCTCGGTGTGTGTCATGATTGATGAGCCTGCGCCACTACATCATTTTGCCTGCCGTTAACCCTTAACTCCATCCACTAACGCTTATACATAATCATACAAATATACATGAAGTTACATCCACAGCAGCAACACAAAACTTTGCTTGATATTTGCACTTGTATTATTAATAAATAGAAGTTTTCTGTTGTACAAAAGGCGGCGGTTAGTTCAAATCAGACTGGAAGTGTGGAAGACGTTTCAAGGGAATAATTGCTTTTACAAAATAACAAACATGTATATGATTAACACTCACTTGCCCTCTTTTTTGCTTCCCCTCACAAACATGGAAACATCTTTTTCTTCATGCTTTAGCAAACAGAAATTGCTTTTAAAGGGTTTTGCTTGTCCAGATAATAAGAACAACAGCTCTGCTGGTCCGTCTATTTCTCTACTAAAATTCTCTACTTCTCTATTTTGCATCATAAAAAGGACAGGAGCTATCTTGTCTTCAACCACAACTAGATGTGTCATTCTAAGTATGGTATTAAATCCCACCACTGTCTGCTCTACAGAGTGTACGTCTACTATCCTTGTGCTGAGCAGGATTGTATTTGTTCTTTGCACTCGGGATTAATAACACAGTGCCTGAGCTATAATGAAAATCAATCTGGATTCAGGCCTGCAGTTACAACGCATGATGACACAGTCATAGTACACTAGAGCCACTGGGCTGTCTGTGGAGCCAACAGCAAATATTAAATTCAATATTTTACCTGCATCTTTTAAGTACTTTGGAAGCCTCCTATTATAACTGGAGATATGCCCGGTCTGCTAATACTCCCACTGTCAACTCACTCCAATGTGTGTCTTTGCTTCAGCTGGTCACAATGATGCCAATGCTGCTTCACTTGTGTCCTTTTTTGGGACACAAGTGAATCATCGCAGCAGATATAAGTATGACAAATATTGGCAAGATAACCAGGAGTTTTTTTTAACACGATGGGCTTTTGGAATACAAATATTGCAATATATTAAGGTTAATAC